TGTATCTTCAAAACCTGTGGTACAGTGTCTTCGTATTTCTCTGCTCTCTGCTCCAACTTTATATGTCTTTCTCCTACTCTGAACCTCCTGCCTCCCTCTTACAAGGGCCCTTGTGACCACACTGAGCCCACCCAGATCACCCAAGAGACTCTTCCTCCATCTCCAGAATCTTAACTTAATCTCCTCTGCAAAATCCTTTTGACATGTCTGGTAACATACTCACAGGTTCCAGAAATTAGGGTGAAGACATCTTTGGGGGCCTCTTATTCCGACTACCACCCACTTTAACAAAATAAGAGGAAAAAAGGATATAAGTCAGGTAACAGGGAAGAGGAGCCCAGTGGAGACCAAGAGTAAATTTCCCATCAGAAGATGTGGACTTTCAGTAGATTTATGCTTGATTTAAAGGCAATAAGGAAATGAGATATTTTGTGCTACATATTTTAAGCTCTTACACTTCATGTTTTATATTATGGGGCACCTGCATTTTTAGTTATATCATTTATTTGTCCAGCTCAAATAAATGTGCAAGCTCCCTGAAGCACCAGGATCTCATGGATGTTCCCCAGGATATGTCCCGTGGCCGGCACATAATCTCATAAGCGTGCAAGTTGACTAAGGGTCTGCCTCAGAGTGATGGTCTCGGGAGGAACTGGATGGGGGGCGCCCTTAGGTCAAGTTAGGATTTTGGGAGGGCAAATTGGGGATCGAGGACGGGGAAAAGTGGGTTTTCTAGGACGGAGGTTAGAAAAAAATCAGGAAAGGACTGGCTGGGGCTCCAGGGGGTCCCTGGCAAACCCCGCCCCAAGCCAGGGTACCGGCGCGAAGTGACGCAGCGCGGTTTGGCCGCTGTGGGGCGCCGTAGCCCGCGCGGTTGCCCAGGGAACGGGCCCCGCGCCGGACGAGGCCCAGCCCGTCTTGGCCTGGCCTGGCCGTACCGCGAGCCCGCCAGAGCCGGAGGCGGAGGACAAGCCGGCCCAACCTCCGTCCGGGATGGGGCCCAGCTCCGGGGCGCGTTTCCGCCTGGTCCCGAGGACCGTCTCTGCTGCGAGGGTCTGAAGCTCAGCTGTTCGGGGAGGGTGGGTGGCCAGGCACGAGGGCTGAACTGCTGGCTGACCTTGGCAGGGCTGATCTGGCACGGCCGCCGCGACGCGCAGGTGAGGAGCCCTCGCCCCATTTCTCGCCTCAGAGCCTGGCCTGAGCTATCGGGTCGCGGCTGCCGCTGCCTGGCCGGGCTCTGGTCTCGCCTCTGCTCGGAGCCCGTGGCCTTAGCGCCAGGAACCCGGCAGAGTGCAGGGCATCCTTCCAGCATTCATCAGGTTCACAGATTAGCATTGAGCGCCTACTGTGTGCCAGGCTCAGTGCCACGCTCGGCACAGAGGCCTCCGAACAGGCGCGGCAGGTCTTCAGAACCCGCGGAGTGTTAAGGAGGCGGGTGGAGAGCAGGCGCCAGATACAGGACTACAGTGATTTTCAGGTCGGGTTAAGTGCTCTGGTGATAAAGTGGAGAGGTTAGTTAGGGAGAGTCTGTCTTAAAAGGCCAGTTTTAATCTAGGAGCTTAAGATTGGAAAGGAGCCAGCAATGTGAGCAGAGGAAAGGTGTTTCTGGAGTCAGGAAAAGCAAATGCAAAGATCTGGAGGCAGGAGGGTACATTATGGCACAGAAAGGGTGAGGAGAGCTCTGCAGGCCTGGTGGAGGTTTTAACTTTATCTCAGCAGGTCAAGGAAACTACTGAAGTACTTTGATGAGTTTCAAGTTTTGGAAAAGTGCATCCTCCTTCTGGCGTTGTAGGCAGCATGGTTGACAAGGCACACTAGGAAGTCAGCTGAGGGCCATCCTAGTTCTGCCAATCTAGCTGTTCCTCCTGGAAGAACTTACTTAGCCTCTCGGAGCCCAGTGTTCTCATCTGTGGAAAGAGGATGTTGTTCAGTATCTTGTTTATGAGTGAGAAAGTGAGGGGCCAGCTGGATCTGAGACCAGTGACTAGAGAGATGTATGAGGACAGCTTGAAATGACAGGACCTACCTCAGAGACTTGTGTGGGTTGGATAAGTAAATTCCATTAAAGCCCTCAAAGCAGTGCCTGGCACAGAGTAAGTGCCCTCTAAATACTAGGTTTGCTTATTGTCCTTGAAAACAGTGTAGGTGAGCGATGATGGAGGCTTGGGTTAGGACAATGGCAATAGAAATGGTAAGAAATGGCTTAACTGCCTTTACCAAAGGAGAGCTGGATTTAGACATGGGTGAAGGGTGGTCCCAGCTTTTGTGGAGCTGGTGGTTCACTGTGGGAGATGGGTTTGTAAACAGATAATCACCACGGAGATGCAATAAAAGCAATAATGGCACTCAATTAACCAGGTTTTGTTTTGTTTTGCTTTGCTTTTGTTTTTCTTACTTTGTTCTGTCATAGTTTTCTTCTTAATGACTGTTTCTTGGTGGGTGTTCCCCACGGCTGACTCCTACAGTCTTATGAGTTGATTTCCTGGTTAAAATCAACAACTCTTGCCTCCCTTCATTAGCTTTCTTTCTGCTCCATGTCACTCCCTCCTTCTTGTCCCCTTTCCTTGGCTTAACTTGGATCCCAGACAGTCTGCAGTGGTTGCCTCAGGAGGAGAATGGCACAGAAAATATTTGCAGACCACATGAAGTCAGAAGTGATTGAGGTTTCAAGCTTTTCTTGCCATACCATCAGACTTCTGCATATTGTTTATGAGAGAGAAAGTGAGGGCCTAGCCAGAGCAATGACTGGAGAGATCTTTGAGAACAACTTGAAGTTCCAGTTTTATTTCCAGGAGTTGTGTGATAATGTATCCCTTGGTTGAACTATGGCCACTTCTCAGAATTTTAAGGCCAGAGACTTCTTTGGCACCTGTGCAGAATTTTAATAAACAAAGTACTCATCCCTAACAATCTTTTGTAAGTGACTTTTGCAGTATAAAACAATGTGCACTGTGAAGTGTTTTCTTTCCAGCACCCCTTTAGGTTGTTAAATTGGACATCTGTTAAATCTCAGTGAAAATTATTTCAAAAGCAGATTCTGGGAAAAAGTGGAAAACATTTAGAAATACCCATAGATAGAAAATCTCTCACATGGAAACCATAAATCTGCTAACAGAAAGAAAAGAAGCTTGGGAGCAAAACTTCCCTGTAGAGTGCACCTTCCCTTTGGGTCCTGGGAGTCACAGAGAGCTGAGCTGGCATGAGCTGAGGACAAACAAGGCCCTGCCCAGCAACCCCTCTGTTGTGCTACTGGTTGTCTGATTCCAGCTTTGACAATATCCCTAACAGCTCTTCCTCACTGCTGTGCAGCTGAACAACCCAGAATTGCTTTCAAGAGTGAGAAAGCATTTCAGTAAAACCAAGCACTCTTGTTACACAGTTGTTAGGCAGGAATTCCTTGTCTAGCATGGTACAGAGAGAGCTCTGGATCACATAAGTACATTTGGTCTACATGGCAGCCTAGTGGGGCCAGGAGGGCAGGAGGTGATATCCTTTAATCATTTTTTATTTGACACACATTTTTTTTTTTCCAAAAGCAGTACATGGGCTGGGTAGGGTGGCTCACACCTGTAATCCTAGCACTATGGGAGACCAAGACAGGAGAATTGCTTAAGGGCAGGAGTGAGACCCGGTCTATATTAAAAATAGAAGAAAAATATTAGCCAGCCACAGGGGTTGATGCCTGTAGTCCTAGCTACTGGGGAAGCTGAGGCAGGAGGATCACTTAAGTCTAGGAGTTGCAGGTTGTAGTGAGCCATGATGATGCCACTGTACTCTACTGGGAGCAACAGAGTGAGAATCTGTCCCCAAAACACACAAACAACCCCCTCCAATGAAAACAGCATATACTCATGATTTTAAAAAATGCAAATCTCTGTTTTACAGCCTTTAGGCCTAGATCTCCTTGCCAGAGGCTTCCTGTGTTTGGTTCTTCACATTTCCTTCCAGACAGAGTCTGTACATACAGGAACATAAGTGTCTATTCATCCTCTTCGTTTTTCACTTAGTAGCTCACTTTGCAACTGTTCTACATCTTGCTTTTTCACTTAATTGTGTGTCAAGTATCATTCATCTCTCTCTTTTTAATCCCTTGTTTTTGGTGTCGTGTAGCATTCCATTGTGTGGATGTGCCATAGCTTGTTTATATTGTTTTTTGTTCTCCCCCCTCCAGAATTTTACTCTGTCACTCTGGGGTAGAGTGCTGTGGCTTCATAGCTCACAGCAACCTCAAACTCTTGGGTTTAAGAGATCTTTTGCTTCAGCCTCCTGAATAGCTGGGACTACAGGTGGCTGCCACAATTCCCGGCTAGTTTTTCTGTTTTTAATAGAGATGGGCTCTAGTTTTTCTATTTTAGTAGAGACAGGGTCTCCCTCTTGCTCACGCTGGTCTCAAACTCCTGGCCTCAAGCAATCTACCTACCTCAGCCTCCCAGAGTACTAGGATTACAGGCATGAGCCAGTGGTCCTGGCCTGTTTTTGTTCTTCATTATTACAAATAATACTGCAATGAGTCTTTGTGTATTCTGTGACTATATACATATATAAGATAAACACCCAGAAATGAAATGTCTGGGCCAAAAGGTAGTTTGGTAGACCTTGCCAAATTGCCTTCCAGCTAACTTTTTTGAAAGATGAGTACAGGAGAGCCAAAGAGAAGGATCTACGAAATTTGCCCACAGGTTCCTTCATCTGTGAGTGGTAGTGCAGGAACCAAAAAAAGACTGTGTCTGAGCCTTTTTCCTTGGTCCAACCTACCTCTCCCCATTGGTGGTTGTAGGCTCTTGAAGCCCCTGGTTCAGCCTTGTCATTTTCTCCTCTGACCCATCCCTATAATCTCCCAGTCCCTTAGCCTCCCCAATAAACACTCCTTAGTAATTCAGTAATTCTGAAATTCTCACGCCATGTGTAGGAATCCAGGGATGCCTACAGTCTCTCCAGGCTGGTACTTTTACCTAAGTTTGGTTCCTTTGACAATGCCATACATGAATTTCAGATCAACATTCCTAAATTTTTTTTTTTTTTTGATGAGACCAGAGGTGGGCAGGAGGGAAGTGAATCATTCATGTAACTATTCTACAGTTCATAGTAAGAACTTAAAATGTTGAGATTTCTTTCATTTAACTTAAGTAGGCAAATTAAGGTAATCTAACCTTGTTTTGAAAATGCTATTAGCAAATGAATGTTAAGGAGAATAGATTATTGTCCTCCTAGTAATGGCCTTCACTTCCTAGAGACAAATGGCCTTGTACTGCCCCTCCAACCTGCCTCAGACCCAGGCAGTAGTTCCTGTGGCCATAACACTTCCTTTTATCCCTGTCTCCATGACTCTTTATGGTTTATTCTGTGGAAGCAGAAGGTACATGGAGAACGTTTTACCAAACTCTCAGCTACCATAGATGGAGCTGGGGGTGCTGGGGGGTGGCAGGCAAGGGGAGTTTGCAGGCCTCACCGCCATCTGCTGACCATCTCTTTCCCCAAGCACAGGACTTGTGGACTCCTGGCCTCCCTAGGCCTTCTTACTGTAGTGTCACTTCCTGGAGTGCCCTCCTCCCCCATATAATTATAAAGCTTTCCAAAACACCACTCACCATATGTCACTCTCTTGTTTTAAACTCCCTTGATTCCCTGTGACTCTTTCAGCAGGGCAAAGCTTCCCTGCCTGGCCTTCTAGGTCTCCCTGTGACCTGAGTCCCGCAGCACTTCAGGGCCCATCTCTCACTGGGCCCTCCCCCACTCTTCCCTCTACCCCGCAACCTGTCCACTCTGTGTTCCACTCCATGGCTGGCCCTGGCATGGGCTTCTAGAATGCCCACTTGCCCACTGATGTCTGATTGTGCCTGTCTGGGCCCCCAGAAAGGAAGCCCCTTAGGCTACTTTAATTTGCTTAATTTGAGGGTAGGTACTGGGTGTCAACTGTGTTTATGTCCTTAGTGTAGGGGCTCTGCCAAAGTAAGCTCTGACTGGCCAACATCTGTGTGTGCCAGCTGGCCATGTTGTCGGGGAGTAGAGCCATACACCTTTCAATACGGACTCCTAGAAAAAGTGCTGAGAGGGGAGGGACAGCCAGAAAAGTCCCTGGGTCTGGTGCAGTGCGTAGTCCCATCCATCTTGGGGCCCCATCTTGGATTTTCTCTGACCTCCCACCCCTGTTAATCAAAACCTTTTGGGTTGAAGGAATTTATGGTCACCAACTCTGCAAGGGAAAATGTTATCAGTTACGAGTTGGCTGGCCCAGGCTTTCAGGACAGGTGGCATGCCTCTTGGCCAGCTTGAGTATCTATTCCAGAATGTTGCTGCTGCTGCTGCTGCGAGGGAGTTCTGTCCGACAGCACTATCCCCACATCACTGTCTAAGGCAAGTGGTACCTCTCTGGGCCAAGGATAACCTGATTTGGGGTCAGAACCATTCCCAAGGCTATTGGTGGCAGGCCCCAGTCTCAGATGGTAACTCTGACCTCAGGAGTCTGGGTGCAGCAGCCACTGGGGTTGCCTGTGGCCTTGCTAGTCAGTCAGGAGGCATCAGTCACATGCCTCTGTTTCTCTCTTTGGAAACTCCCTCAAGCTGTAGGGTTGTTTAGGTTTGAGATGGCAAAAAGAAAGCCAGAATTTAGAGATCCAAATTAATGGCTTTTCTTCAAAGCACTTGCCTTGGTGGGTGATGGTGTCACAGGAGAGCTGATATACAATCCCCAAGGATTTGCCCCAGAGCAGAACCACCCAGCTCAACCACCCAGGGCTTGACCTGATGACCTTTTATTGTTTCCAAAACTCAAGGACAAGGATTTGCTACTGCTGGGGACATTCAAAAGAAAGTGATGCCAGCTTATGGACCACTTTTGACACCTTAGATCAGAGGTGACAAGATTAGAATGACACCCAGTGGCTTAGCTCTTATTAATAGTGTGTTCCTTGGGCCACTGACTTAAGAAAGCAACTTCAACCAACCCTATCCCTTTGAACATAACCCTTATAAACTATCAGATGAACTAGCTTCAGCTTAGTGATCTGAAAACAAGCCAGAGAGCTAGTTCAGAGTAATGATAACATTTAGCATGTGGTGAGCATTTCTGTGTCAAAGATTTATTTACCTACAGTGTTGCTGATCTATATATCTCCCTTGAGAGGCATCCCACTGCTGATTTCTTTTCTTTTTTTTTTGAGACAGTCTCACTTTGTCACTCTGGGTAGAGTGCTGTGGCATCATAGCTCACAGCAACCTGGAAGTCTTAGGCTCAAGCAATCCTCTTGTCTCAGCCTCCCAAGTTAGCTAGGACTACAGGTACCCACCACCATGCCTAGCTAGTCTTTCTATTTTTATCATAGACGGGCTCTTGCTCTTGTTCAGTCTGGTCTTGAACTCCTGGCCTCAAGGACCTGCCACAATGCCTGGGTATTTTTAGAGATGGGGGTCTCAGGCTGGTCTTGAACTCAAGTAATCTGCCCGCCTCTGTATCCCAGAGTGCTAGGATTACAAGGGAGAGCCACTGTGCCTTGCCCCCACCCCTGTTTTTCAAATGAGGAAACTCAGGCCACTCAGCTAATAAGTACAGAGCTAGGAACTGAACCTATATCTGTTTCCTCCAAAGCTGGAGCTTTTTTATTTTTCCCTTTTATGTCATCTTATAGAAGACAAGGCAGGTAACCAAAGAATTCCTGTTGAATGTCTGGTAGAAAACTAAGATTGTTCCATTTAGCTTTGAGATGAGACTACTCAGAGGTGACTTGAAATAATGCCAAGCTTGGCTTTCAGGAGGCTGTGAGCCTTGGATGGACTGAAGGACAGAGTAGCTAAGAGTGACTGTCCAGCAGTCATGGTAATGATAGTCAGCAAAGGGAACTGGGTTACAGGAAGGGACAGATATGTGAGGGCTGTGTAGGGTAGGGGCGGGCTAGGAAGATTGGTAACAGGGCAGAGTAGGGCCTAGATAGCTTTGGGTGGACCAGGATTCTACTCCATTGCCGTGCCCACATTTCCTTTTATTTCAGATGTTTTCAAGTCAGCAAATGTTTACTGAGCATCTACTATGTACAAGGTATAGTTCTGGGTGCTTGGGGGAGGGCATGTGGGGGGTCATAGGAGAATGAATCACAGCACATTCACTGCCTTAAGGGAAAACTGTTGTAACAGGGGACCAGACATAAGGATGGCCAAGTGTACCAAATGACAAAGTGACTTGCCCAATAAGGACTCAGCACAAGGGCCCCCTGATTCCACTTGGTACATCAGAGAAAGTTTCCTGGGTGAAGGGACTGGTTGGTTCTGATGATCAGGTCTTATTTGTGGAGCTGAGAGGTAAGAAAGGCATTACCAGCAGATGTGCAGGGGGGAGTCCGCCATACCATTTTTGCTCAGTCAGATTCCCTGGCTCACAGGCAGGGGCTCCTGAAAGGAAAGTCCAGCTACTAGGGTTTTATCTCTGCTCCTGGCCCTTTCATCAAGAGCTCAGAGCTGGCCTATCTCCCCAGGTGTGCTGCTTGCCTCAGCTGTAGTCCCCTTTTGGGTCCAAATGATATCCACCCCATCCTGCCCTGCATTTATCTTTAGCTATCAGGCCAGCTATTGAGCTAAAGAGGAGCCGGTGGGGGCTGCTGCTATTTAGTGATCTGGCTTTGATTGAGGCCTGTCAAAGTGGGTTAGAGGGCATTAGCCCACCTTTTGCGGTAAATGTGCACGAGGTCCAGGGTTACTTAGATGTGGTCCTTCCTGCTGCTGGAGGGAAGTGAGAGGAATCCTTCCCTCTCTCATGTGTGCTGGCTTCTTCCCAGCTAAGTAGCCCTTCTGAGGCATGGGGCAGAGGTTCAGGGTCTCCCAATCTCAAGGGTTCCAGGTCTGCTGAGGGACAAAGGCATACCCTCTTCTGAGCACCCCACTCCCTGCCCCACAGAATACAGGGGCCGTCTTTGACACTTGCATTTGGACTCAGGACAGAGGTGACTAATCCTGACAGAATCAGCATGTGTTCTCATCGCTCTGGATGCAGCCAGATATTGTTACCAGATGAGAACATGTCTTATTGGGTTTAACTCTGATGGCTGTAGAGACAGAGCACTTTGAGGCAGCCACACTGTGTCCTGAATAAACTGGGTCCTCCTTCCTTGTCCTAGCTAGGCTGGGTCCAGAGTCTGCATTGGGATTTTGAGCTAGCACCCTGTAACCACCCTCCCCCACTGCCTGTCTCTATCATGCTAAGACCCCAAGTTGCCCTGCAGAAGTAGCTGGGTGGTGGCTTCAGGTCCCAGCCTACTCACTGTGGTACTAAAACCCGGCCAGCTACAGCGGGGCCCTGGGCTCCAGCCTAACCTCTTCCTGCCAATACTCTCATTGTTCTTTCTCCCTCTGGAGATGACCATCTGCAACAAGCCCTCCAACAAGACGGCCCCTGAGAAGAGTGTGTGGACAGCGGCTGAGCAGGCCAGCAGACCCTCCCCGGAACTACAGGGCCAGCGATCCCGCCGCAACGGGTGGAGCTGGCCTCCTCACCCCCTGCAGATCGTGGCCTGGCTGCTGTACCTCTTCTTTGCTGTGATCGGCTTTGGGATCCTTGTTCCCCTACTGCCTCACCACTGGGTGCCTGCTGGCTACGCTGTATCCTTGGGAAAGTGTGGGGCTAGTGGGGAGAAGAGGGAGGCCAGGGATAGACAGACATGGCAGAGGCCTGAAGCTGGGTTCAGAGCCTCAGGAAGCACAGGTGGGGGAGAGCAGGGTGGGCCCATTTCTAGGAACCAGCTGCTTACCTGCCTGGCCTCCATGTGACAGGATGAGTAGACCAATTTAAAGTGCTTTAGAGAATTTAAAGCCTCACACGGATGTGACTCTTACCAACCAAGGTACCATAGACGTGACCTCAGAAGACAGCCTTTTTTTTTTTTTTGAGACAGAGCCTCAAGCTATCCCCCTGGGTGGAGTGCCATGGCATCACAGCTCACATCCACCTCCAACTCCTGGGCTAAGGCGATTCTCCTGCCTCAGCCTCCCAAGCAGCTGGGACCACAGGCTCCCACCACAAGGCCCAGCTATTTTTTTGGTTGCAGCCATCATTGTTGTTTTGGTGGGCCCAGGCTGGATTCGAACCTACCACCTTAGGTGTATATGGCTGGCGCCTTGGCCACTTGAGCCACAGGCGCCATGCCAGAAGACAGCCTTAAACCATATTTAAGCTCATTGTGTTCAGAGTTAATCAAAGGACAAATTAGGGCATGGTTATTCTGTTTATGAAAGAAGCTTCCACTTTTCACAAAAAGTCACTCTTCTGTAACTCTCAAAGAGTCACAGAATTCGTTTAGATAGTAAGTCTTCTGGTACATTTAAAATGTGTTTTTTAGGGTGGCACCTGTGGCTCAGTGAGTAGGGCGCCAGCCCCATATACCGAGGGTGGTGGGTTCAAACCCGGCCCCGGCCAGACTGCAACAAAAAAATAGCTGGGCATTGTGGCGGGTGCCTGTAGTCCCAGCTACTTGGGAGGCTGAAGCAAGAGAATCACCTTAGCCCAGGAGTTAGAGGTTGCTGTGAGCTGTGATGCCACAGCACTCTACCGAGGGTGATAAAATAAGACTCTGTCTCCAAAAAAAAAGTGGTTTTTATTTATGGACAGATTTTCAGACTATGCCTAGGACTGTTTATAAGTTTATTGATTTTGTAACTCAGACCCTTTCAGGATGAGATTGAATGTGACAAGAGGCAAGATAGAGTTGCCCTGAAGGCTCCTGGGGACAGTGACAAACATGGATTTGCCTGAGCCCAGTGGTGTCATTGCCCCAGCCCCCAGGAGAAGAGGACATGGTTTTAAGGTCAGGGGGTTGAAGTGCCCTTGTCCAGAGAACTCGTACAAGAGTGTCCTGGCATGTGTGTCCTTTAAGAAGGTGATCCCTGAGCTGGTGGGTTCAAATCCAGCCCAGGGACATCAAACAACAATGACGGCTGCAACCAAAAAATAGCTGGGTGCTGTGGGTGCCTGTAGCCCCAGCTACTTGGGAGGCAGAGGCAGGAGAATCGCTTGAGCCCAGGAATTGGAGGTTGCTGTGAGCTGTGATGCCATAGCACTCTACCCAGGGTGACAGCTTGAGGCTCTGTCTCAGAAAAAAAAAAGAAGGTGATCTGGTGATCCTCAGGGGAAGGGAGCAAGAGTCACCTAAGGGTGATTGGCCGGGATGAGCTTAAAAGCCTGGGGGATAGAATCAGCAGCTGAGCTTGGTCCCTGCCAGGCCTTCAGGGCTGTGCAGGATTAAATAGCTTCTGTCAGCTCTCTGGGGCTCAGCCTCCTCCTCTGTCAGCTCTCTGTGTCTCAGCTTCCTCCTCTGTCTGACAGGAGGGGTCCTGTCTGCCTTCCGGGGTGAGAGGGTGGGGAGCATGTTAGGGTATGTGTGAGCACCAGAACACATAAACTGTAAATGTGAGTGTGCTGGCTTGGAAACTGAAGAGCCCTGGTACTGGCTTCTTCTTGCCTGAAGGAATGAGGTTCAAGGTCTTTCCATGGCTCTCTATGTTGTGGACCTTGTCTGCCTCCCAGTTTCCTCTGATATTGTGTTCCCTATTCTTCAACACTATGTCTGTCTGGAGGCCCCTTGATCTTTCCTTTTTTTTTTTTTTTTTTTTTTTTGAGACAGAGCCTCAAGCTGTCCCCCTGGGTAGAGTGCCATGGCATTACAGCTCACAGCAACCTCCAACTCCTGGGCTCAAGCGAGTCTCCTGCCTCCGCCTCCCAAGTAGCTGGGACCACAGGCGCCCGCCACAACGCCCGGCTATTTTTTGGTTGCAGCCGTCATTGTTGTTTGGCGGGTCTGGGCTGGGGATTCGAACCCGCCACCTTAGGTGTACGTGGCTGGCGCCTTAGCTGGTTGAGCTATAGGCGCCGAGCCCCCTTGATCTTTCCTTAACCCCAACACCCAGCTAAGTCAGAGGTTAAGCCCATGAGCTAAGCTGGCCTGCAGATTTTTCAAAAATTGAGATATAATTAACACACAAAATGCACAGATCTTAAGTGTTCCTTCTGTAGGTCTGTTTTAAAAATTATGTATTTCTTTAACATTTAAACATTGAGAAATCTCACATAAAAACCCAGATTTCTGGTTCCTTTGAGAAGTTAGCATTTGGCAACACAGACTCTCTATTCTTGCAAGGCAGCCATGAGCTGGAACCACACTCCAGCCATACCTTCGGCTGGCACTCTGCATGTTCCCAGCAGTGACGGTCTCCAGCCAGGCCCCTTTTCCTCTTTTCTTTACTTGCCAGGTCCCCATAATCCCTTCTTCCCCACGTCTCAGCTGAGTCAGTTCTTTCTCCATGAGGTCTTGGGGAGCCCCCTTCAGACTAGACAAGGTCACCTGGTTACAAATTGGCATAATCCAATGAACTTTCTTCACTGTAATTAACTCATTTTTTTAATGTCTATGGTTTTCTAGCAGACTGTTGTCTCCTCAGGGCTAGGGACAAGTCTGTCTTGTCCCTGTCATATCCTTCAGTACCTGGCCCAAAGAAAGATCTCAGTAAGCAGCTGATTGAATGAACCAGGGGGTGGAGCCAGAGAAGTGCTGGAGCCGAGGAAGCTAAATTTTTGCCTTCACTGGGTCTGAAGAAGGCTGGAGTTGGGGAGGTGCAGGAGCTGGCGATAACAGAGGTTTAAGACAAGCCAGAACAAAAGGGGTCTCCACCTAGCCTTGAGGAGTGAACTTTAGCTGGAGAACAGGGAGCAATTTGGGTTTAAGCTTTTAAAAAGCTCACTTTGTGAAGAATAGACTCTAAGGAACACAGGCTGAAGGGGCTGGGTTTAGGAGATACAGAGTGACCCAGCCAAGAGATGAAGACCTGACTGCAGCAGTGGCTATAGGGACAGAGAGGTCAGTGACAGCCAGGGGATTATCTCTCAGGTGTGGTGAGACACATCAGGGCAGAACCTGGCTCATGAAGAATGTTGGCAGCTAGGAAGAGGAGGAAGGGAAGAAAGGAGGTTGGACAGCAGACGGGTGAAGGATGGAGGATGGAGGGATGACGTCTGCCTGACTGGCAAGGGCATGGATGAAGAATAGGGTAGGCAGGTGGGGGGAGGGAGGGAAGAAAGTGGATGGCCACCTAGGAGGAATATATGGGTGATTTCACATAGAGACGTTGCAGCAAGTTGTTGGCATTTGGCCCAATCACTGAGCAGATACGTCCTGAAAGAGCTGCATTTCAGCTTCAGGAATTGACCATGCTGCACCCGTCAGGCTTTGAGCGTGGCAGGCCCTCCCAGACATTCGGCTTAGGGCTCCAGGTGCCTAGACTCCGGGTGGTGTAGGCAGTGAGTGTAAAAGTCCCTGTCTGCAAGGGATTCTCTATCTGGCCCAGTTACTCTAAGGGGATAGCTGAAGCCCTCTCAGAGCTGACTTCTTTTGAAAGCAAGATAAACAGGTTCACAACTTAAACTTTAGGTCCCTTGACCTTAGGGGATGGATAAGGTCAAGACCTTAGGTTTGGCTCGGCGCCTATAGCTCAACGGGCTAGGGCGCCAGCCATGTACACCTAAGGTGGCGGGTTCAAATCCCCAGCCC